AGCTGTAGGAATGCTTTCCCTGTGCTGTTAACGCGACGTTTAGCTGTCTCTGATTCGACCGTCTGGCTGGCTAAGGTCAAGCCCAACCACATAAACCGGTTCCGATCTTAGGTCTTCGTTTCGAGTATATAACAAAGGTTTTGGTTAATCATATACCATTTCTTTGCATATATATTTTAGGTAATTCAACTGCTATCGAATAATCGTCAACCACGCATCTACTTGACGACTGTTTATCGTGTGGATTATCTGCCAATCAACTGAAAATGAGCGCTAAGAGTGATACTCGCATTCCAAAGCCACCAAAGCCACCGGAAAAACCTCTCATGCCTTATATGCGTTATAGTCGCAAGGTAAAATGGCATTTTTCTGATTGATATATTTGGAAGGTATGGGAGCAAGTAAAAAATTCTAACCCACATTTGAAATTGTGGGAAGTGGGTAAAATAATCGGACAAATGTGGCGGGAATTACCGGACGACGAAAAGACGCTTTATGTAGAGGAGTATGATGTGGAAAAAGCTCAATACACCGAAGCATTGCGACAGTATCACAGCTCGCCAGCCTACCAGGCTTGGTTGGTAGCTAAGGAAAGAGGTGTGATCCGTTTTTCCATTTACACGATTCCATATTAGCGGAAAAAACTATGGAGGAACAAGATCAAGAACGAAAGCAATCAATGGCACGAATGCGAGATCGCAGTGGAGATGTTCCCCAGGGTGATTTGCGTGAATCGTATATTCTTGAAGATAACGAAGAAGGTAAGTGTTACGTAACTCTCTCATTCTCCGGAATGGCCTCTGTGCCGTAATGTCCATGAAATTTCATAAACACCGAAAGGAAGCATGTCGTGGGATGTTAATATTCGATTCCTCTCTCGCTGACGTAAAACAAACAGGCACATAAAGAGCACATTGGGTTGATCAGTTATGGTGAACAAACGTATACCAGCAAAATAAGCTAACTAAACAGCGAAGTAAACAGCCAATTCCAAAGTAGGCGGATTGATTGTGTGAAATAAGCTTGTACGCATGAGGTAGGGTGATACAACCAAGTAAGCGAGGTTCGACTAATTGCCAAAAGTTTAATGTTGCGATTGTTCAATGTGTACTCGCTGGACAAACGTGAGCATTGCCGACAAATCGGTTCTGTCCCACACTACCAGTTTACGTGCAGTTGCGGTGACGCATATATAGGCAGAATAAACCGTCAGTTATCACAACGGGTGACCAGCCACATTCCAAAGTAGTTGATAGATTCGATGATAACCAATGGTCAGACGATCACATGAAACTCTAAGTCATCTGTTGTGAAACATCTCACGACAACAAAATACACAATTCATCTTATTTCATCCTTCCAACCACGGTCAGATAATCACAATGGTAAACTTTTGAGAATTATTCAAATCTCGCTTATTTGATTGTATCACTCGGTCCCATGCACACAAGCGTATTTGACACAATCAGTCCACCTACCTTGGAATTGGCGGTTTACTTCTTTGTTCAGTAATCTTATTTTGCTTGTACATGCTCGTTCACCATGATTGATCAACCCAATGTGCTCTTTATGTGCCTGCTTGTTTTACGTCGGTGATTGAGGAGAATAAACGAAATTTTAGCATCTCGTGACATTTGTCTTCTTTCAGTAGTGCTGAACTGTCTGAAGGGGATTCGATGTTTAAAATTTCTAAAGCTTTTAAAATTGCCAAATACTATCTGCTGGGTCCTCAGCTAAAATGCCCTATTTTTTTATCCTACCCCATGGAATCTAGACACTGAAGATCAATACACCGCAAAGCATGTAGCCGCCGCACGGTTTCAACGGAATCATCGTTTGATGCAAGAGATTTTGAGTGATTGTCGCCTACCTGACCCCGGTCAGTTGATTACTCAAAGTCGTTTAAACACCCTGCGGTTACAAGTGGAACAATTGCGCAACCATAAGCGCAACTTATGTCAAGAAATTGATGGTTGTGAAGCCAGACATCGGGCGAAGATTCAGAAAATTCGAGAGGATTCGGCTAAGTTTGTAGAAGAATACGAGAAATTGACCTCTACAAGACCGATGATTAATGAATCACAATTCGCTGAAATGATCGTGAAGGCCAAACGGGACCTACAAAGAGAAGAGGAAGAACGCGTTTCTCGCTACTTGGCTGATGTGGAGATGAGGCGTCGCAGACAGCAACAACGCCAGCAGCGCGAAGCCGAGCTGGCAGCAGAGGCGGAACGTCGCCGACAACAGGTGCAACAACAGCAGCAGCAACAACAACAGCAAATGCATCAGCAGGCACAANTCGTCAATCGCAGATAATCTACAAACGGCAACGGACCGTCCTACGGATCGCGGTGGACCTGTTTCTGTACGTTTTTGACGTTGCATTCGATTTGCCTATTGTTTTGAAAAATGAGATTTATCTGAAAGGCCATCATCGTTATCGTCATTGCTAGATAGGCAGAAGTTTTCTCACTTTTCTATTCACCGGCGGACTCCAGATAAATAAAGCTACAACCTGTTTGACATGAAAATGATGTATTTGACGAAGAAACAGTCCCGATTCAGAGATCGTAACTGACTGACGTCACTTAACGTTATGATAGATTCCTGTGTAGTTGGACATATTTATTATTATCTGTACTTCTTTATTTGCTGTAACTGGGGGTGCTGGACACTGCGGAATGTGATAAACAGCCGACAACAGTCTCATTGTTGCTGTCATATATCAGACGGGTTGCTTTAAAAAGTGCTAAAGTATGGCTAGACTGTTCTGTTGTAACCCCCTCCAGCAAAATAGGCGCATTAACTAACAGCATTACTCACTCTTTGCTTTGCATGCATTGTGAGCTTCCTAGTGATCATTGAAGTTTGCTTCACTGTATTTCTCTGATGATCCAAAGCCTTTCGCGGTTTGTATATCTCCCGGCTCATACGAACGGTCTCCAAGGCCGAATGTACTGGTCATCCTCGTCATCCCATAGCGCAACACAGTGCATCGAAATTCTCTGATCGCTGTCAAGTTCACAATAGTTTCTATAGTCTTTTTATTCAGTGAGTATACAAGCGTACAATCAACTTTCAGGAAGGGGCTACGAACAATCGAGATTGATTGGCAGACAGCCTAAACCGTCAACCAAGACCGCAAGGTTAACGGCAAAATGAAGCTCTCGTGTCTGGATGTCAGAATTTCGGGAGTAGCATCACATTCCTCCAATGAAAACCAAATCTTGTACCCGCCTGTTTTTGAACGTATGTCTTAACTGAACTAAGCAGCTTGGGAGTCGATATGAAAGGCGTCAAGGGATTCGACGACTACTCATCGGCTCGCGCAATAGCTGAAAATTCCTTCAGTGTTACACAACATCAAACCTGTAAATCATTTATTTTTGTTGCTGCAAAGCTTCATAACTCTGAGTTTATCCTGGAAACGTGCAGCCACATTTATATCCGAGGTGTATGTTTGAGCGACATTTGTAATGATATTGCTTTGATTGCCGGTGGTAACATGTATTTATATCTTCACGCAAAGGGTGGTGGTGGCCCAGTGGTTTAGTCGCCGTCATCCGCGTGCTTTGGACTCTGTGGTCCGTGGTTCGAGCCCCGCCACCGGGCTTTGGTGGTAGGCAGCTTTACTGTTACCCGGTTCAATACCACTCCTAACCTATCGGTATCTTGTGTGGTTCGTTCCTCCAAGTCCCGGGGCTAAGGTTACCGGCTTCCACCACTGAACAGCAGGTCTTCGCGACTATGCGTTTTGCCCCGTCTGCTGTTCACGCTTAGGCGTGTAATAAAAAAACATTTTCACACACGCCTGAGTTCAGACAGTGTGCCAAACAAATCATCGTACTTTAATCTTTATATAAGGGAGATGGTCCATAATACTGCTACGTTAATCAGGCCTGAGCAGATGAATTTTCTTGAGGAATCCACAACCGGAGCCTTCAGCTAGCC